TATTAATAAAATTGTATAGCTTGAAAGTTAATCCTGAAAACTATATTATGCAAATCTTTTGGTAAAAACGTTTGTCGTCGTCAAACCCTGACCAGGACCGTATTTGTTCTACTTTACACTGAAATAAATTCGCGTGACTGCAAAAGTCCTGAACAGCTATTATAACCCGTACTTTGTGTTTGTGTGTAAATATGTATTTGAATTTCAACAATATGAAATTATTTTATTTCAGCATTTAGTCGAGGAAACCCTTGACAAACAAATATTTTCCGAAACACAATACAATATTTCAAATTTCAAAGCTTTAGAGAGCAAGCATTGTTGGCTCAAATGACACACCAAGCTATCAAATTTTATGCGGTACACAAAATCAGTGTTCGAAGAATTCAGGTTTCTTGTCTATTTGTTCTTTTATTGGAAATATTTTCAGGTAACCTGTGAAACTGATTCGTGGCCACTCTGAAATTTATTCATGATGTTATCGTGGTAATAGTAAGCGATTAACTTAAATACTATTACTTTTCCTCTTCAGGAAAGTGATGACGTCATCAACAGATTTTGTTGACTAAATCTAATCAGAATCGTTAACAAAATTGTCACTCCCTTTTGAGCATTACGTTGTTTGATTTGTACGTGTAGTTTTATATTGTAACGTTTCCGTTTAAATTACGTTTCAATTGTGGAAATAGTGATAGCATACTTAATTTACAAGATAATAATGTAATTGAACCAGAAACGACTCGATCCAGACAAATATTCAAAAATAATCCAGAAAATGCAACTCATATCACCCTAATATTTGGTTTAGTGTACTAAAGACAAGTTTGGACCAGCATCTGCTAGGAGCACTCTATCTTTATCCTTAAATATTTATGTACTTCAGAGAAAAGATTGTTTTGTGCTATTGTTCAAAGTTGAGTTAAAAAATATCATTAGTGTTAAGTCAACAGCAAGACATGCGTAAAATTGTGTCTTTCCCCTTTTGTTTGTAAAAGAAATAAAGGTAATTTTGTATATTAATGAAATTCTGCAGCTTAAAAGTTAAAAAATTAAAGCCCCTAAGCTCTAAAATCTAAACCGGAGACTCTAGGTTAAAGCGTGGTGGTGCTCAAACTCTGAACAGGACCGTATTTGATCTATTCTCTACTATATTTAACTAAAACGACTGTTGACTCAAATTACACAACATGTTATAAAATTTCGTATATTATACAAAATCGGTGTTCGAAGAATTCAGGTTTCTTGTCTATCTGTTGTTTTATTGGAAATATTTTCAGGTAACCTGTGAAACTCATTCGTGGTCACTCTGAAATTTATTCATGATGTTATCGTGGTAATAGTAAGCAATTAATCTAAATATTATTACATTTCCTTTTCAGGAAAGTGATGACGTCATCAACACATTTTATCGATTAAATCTAATAAGAATCGTTAACAAAATTGTCACTCCCGTTTGAGCATTACGTTGTTTGATTTGTACGTGTAGTTTTATATTGTTACGTTTCCGTTTAAATTACTTTCAATTGTGGAAATAGTGAAAGCATACTTAATTTACAAGACAATAATATAATTGAACCAGAGGCGACTCGATCCAAACAAATATTCAAAAATAATCCAGAAAATGCAACTCATATCACGCTAATATTTGGTTTAGTGTACTAAAAACAAGCTTGGACTAGCATCTGCGAGGAGCACTCTATCTTTATCCCTAAATATTTATGTACTTAAGTGAAAAGATTCTTTTGTGCTATTGTTCAAAGTTGAGTTAAAAAGTATCGTTAATGTTAAGTCAACAGCAAGACATGCGTAAAATTGTGTCTTTTCCCTTTTGTTTGTAAAAGAAATAAAGGTAATTTTGTATATTAATAAAATTCTGCAGCTTAAAAGTTAAAAAATCAAAGCCCCTAAGCTTTAAAATCTAAACCGGAGACTCTAGGTTAAAACGTGGTGGTGATCACACTCTGAACAGGACCGCATTTGATCTATTCTCTACTACATTTAACTAAAACGACTGTTGACTCAAATTACACAACATGTTATAAAATTTCGTATATTATACAAAATCGGTGTTCGAAGAATTCAGGTTTCTTGTCTATCTGTTCTTTTATTGGAAATATTTTCAGGTAACCTGTGAAAGTGATTCGTGGTCACTCTGAAATTTATTCATGATGTTATCGTGGTAATAGTAAGCAATTAATCTAAATATTATTACTTTTCGTCTTCAGGAAAGTGATGAGGTCATCAACACATTTTATCGACTAAATCTAATAAGAATCGTTAACAAAATTGTCACTCCCGTTTGAGCATTACGTTGTTTGATATGTACGTGTAGTTTTATATTGTTACGTTTCCGTTTAAATTACTTTCAATTGTGGAAATAGTGATAGCATACTTAATTTACAAGACAATAATATAATTGAACCAGAGGCGACTCGATCCAAACAAATATTCAAAAATAATCAAGAAAATGCAACTCATATCACCCTAATATTTGGTTTAGTGTACTAAAGACAAGTTTGAACCAGCATCTGCGAGGAACACTCTATCTTTATCCTTAAATATTTATGTACTTTAGTGAAAAGATTGTTTGTGCTATTGTTCAAAGTTGAGTTAAAAAATATCATTAGTCTTAAGTCAACAGCAAGACATGCGTAAAATTGTGTCTTTTCCTTTTCCTTTTGTTTGTAAAAGAAATAAAGGTAATTTTGTATATTAATGAAATTCTGCAGCTTAAAAGTTAAAAAATTAAAGCCCCTAATCACTAAAATCTAAACCGGAGACTCTAGGTTAAAGCGTGGTGGTGATCAAACTCTGAACAAGACCGTATTTGATGACCGTATTTGATCTATTCTCTACTATATTTAACTAAAACGATTGTTGACTCAAATTACACAACATGTTATAAAATTTCGTATATTATACAAAATCGGTGTTCGAACAATTCAGGTTTCTTGTTTATCTGTTCTTTTATTGGAAATATTTTCAGGTAACCTGTGAAACTGATTCGTGGTCACTTTGAAATTTATTCCTGTTGTTATCGTGGTAATAGTAAGGGATTAACCTAAATATTATTGCTTTTCCTCTTCAGGAAAATGATGACGTCATCAACACATTTTGTCGATTAAATCTAATGAGAATCGTTAACAAAATCGTCACTCCCGTTTGAGCATTACGTTGTTTGATTTGTACGTGTAGTTTTAAAATTCTGCAGCTTAAAAGTTAAAAATTCAAAACCCCTAAGCTCTAAAATCTAAACCGGAGACTCTAGGTTAAAGCGTGGTGGTGATCAAACTCTGAACAAGACCGTATTTGATGACCGTATTTGATCTATTCTCTACTATATTTAACTAAAACGATTGTTGACTCAAATTACACAACATGTTATAAAATTTCGTATATTATACAAAATCGGTGTTCGAAGAATTCAGGTTTTTTGTTTATCTGTTCCTTTATTGGAAATATTTTCAGGTAACCTGTGAAACTGATTCGTGGTCATTCTGAAATTTATTCATGATGTTATCGTTTTAATAGTAAGCAATTAATCTAAATATTATTACTTTTCCTCTTCAGGAAAGTGATGACGTCATCAACACATTTTGTCGACTAAATCTAATCAGAATCGTTAACAAAATTATCATTCCCGTTTGAGCATTACGTTGTTTGATTTGTACGTGTAGTTTTATATTGTTACGTTTCCGTTTAAATTACTTTCAATTGTGGAAATAGTGATAGCATACTTAATTTACAAGACAATAATATAATTGAACCAGAAACGACTCGATCCTAACAAATATTCAAAAATAATCAAGAAAATGTAACTCATATCACTCTAATATTTGGTTTAGTGTACTAAAGACAAGTTTGGACCAGCATCTGCGAGGAGCACTCTGTCTTTATCCTTAAATATTTATGTACTTCAGTGAAAAGATTGTTTTGTGCTATTGTTCAAAGTTGAGTTAAAAAGTACCATAAGTGTTAAGTTAACAGCAAGACATGCGTAAAATTGTATCTTTTCCCTTTTGTTTGTAAAAGAAATAAAGGTAATTTTGTATATTAATAAAATTCTGCAGCTTAAAAGTTAAAAAATCAAAGCCCCCTAAGCTCTAAAATCTAAACCGGTGACTCTAGGTTAAAGCGTGGTGGTTCTCAAACTCTGAACAGGACCGTATTTGATCTATTCTGTACTATATTTAACTAAAACGACTGTTGACTCAAATTACACAACATGTTATAAAATTTCGTATATTATACAAAATCGGTGTTCGAAGGATTCAGGTTTCTTGTCTATCTGTTCTTTTATTGGAAATATTTTCAGGTAACCTGTGAAACTGATTCGTGGGCACTCTGAAATTTATTCATGGTGTTATCGTGGTCATAGTAAGCGATTAACTTAAATATTATTAGTTTTCCTCTTCAGGAAAGTGATGACGTCATCAACACATTTTGTCGACTAAATCTAATGAGAATCGTTAACAAAACATTCGACAAGAATTATTATTTTAGTTTTTATGACTAATAGGTAACCGATTTGTGTTATGTAGGGACGAAAATACCTTGATCTAAGATCCAGACAAATATCTACAAATAATCAAGAAATAGCAACTCCTAAAATTTTAACATCAGATTTAGTTGACTTGTACTTTGTATTAAAGCTAAGTCTCGACTAACATCTGCGTCAAGCACCCTTAAATATAGTGAACCAAGAGCTATAAGGTTATATGGCCATCTGGATTTCTGGATTTCTGGATTTTTAATTTATGGGGGCTGACCGCAGCCAGCCGGCACTTAGGCCTCGCCTTTGGGCCCATTGTACCTTCCCCAAGTCCATATCAGGGTGTTTTCCCGCTCCTCTACTCGTCAAGCCATCCAACTGCTTGAATGTACTTGAGTAATGCAGAGGGTGGAAACTCCCTGATATTTGCCATACTAGGCCAGATGTCCCCTAGTATGGATTCCCTGTAGGAGGCTAGGGCTGGACACTCACGAAGAATGTGCTCAGCTGTTTCCTCTTCTTCATTGCATCCACGACAGATTGGGTCTGTTACTACCCCTATCGTATGTAGATGTTTGTTAAACTGGTAATGTCCCGTAAGGAATCCTACCAGTTTACGCAGTTTGTCCCTTGAAAGTGAGAGATAAAATTTTGTCAACTTACGGTCTGGTGTCGCCATACAAGCTCTACTATGCCGACAGCTGCTCAACGTCGCCCATATCGGCTCATGGCGTCTATGGGTATATTGCTTTACGAGTTCGTTCGAGAGGGCGACCGAAGGCGTGATTGCCGGTTCGGGTCCCCAGAAGGGCATGCGCGCGGCTCGCTTCGCCATCTCATCTGCCCTCTCGTTTCCTTCGTTGCCACTGTGTCCTTTGATCCAACAAAGTTCCACACTATTCCTTTGCGTTACATACTTTAGCGTTTGTCTGCACTCCCAAACCAGCCCGGATCGAACCATACAGCTGTCCAGGGCTAGTAGTGCAGACTTGCTGTCAGTAAGTATGCGTATTGATTTGTTGCCGATTTCACGTTCAGCAATGATTCTAGCTCCCAGCATTATTCCCATCAGTTCTGTTTGTAAGACAGACGTGTGGGTGCCGAGAGGTACACTGATTTGTGCGTTCAGTTGTTCGGAGTAGATGCCGGCTCCTGAACCACTATCTGTTTTGGCACCATCGACATAGATATCTATGTCGGCTCGTCCTTCTGAATTATCATTCATTGATATTCTATATGTCTTCTCATATATTAATTTTGTGCCCATTCGGTCACAACCCATCCTCAACAAGGGTATTCTGTTGAACGCCTCCGTTAAGATCCGAGTGTGCTTCGTTGTGCGGCCTTGCTTGTTCCATACTCCCAGAGAGTGAAGTCTTAGAGACGTCGTCATTGCCGCTTCCTCTATGTAAAGGTTAAGAGGTGCTAAGCAAAGGAGAGTCTCCAGAGCCGCTGTGGGAGTGGTCCTCATTGCTCCTGTAACACTGAGACACGCCATTCTCTGAACGTGTTCAAGTTGCAGGGCTGTTGTTTTTTGTCTGGCTCTGGGCCACCAAACTAAAGCTCCATAGCACAGCATCGGTCTGACTATTGCCGTGTAGATCCAGAGGGCGATCTTGGGATTTAAACCCCACGACCTTCCCACCACCCTACGACATTGCCAAAGAGCCGAGCGTGCCTTTTCTACTTTATCATCTACATGCTTCTTCCAATTCAGTCGCCAGTCCAATACAACTCCCAGGTATTTGACTTCGTCCGAAAGTTGAAGCGTTGTGTTAAATATTTTTGGCATCTGTAGTGTGCCAATTTTCCTTTTCCTGGTGAACAGGATTAGTTTCGTCTTTTCTCCGTTAACGGAGAGGGTATGTCTGTTGCACCATTCCTCGACTATTTTTACTGCAGCTTGCATTATCTCACATAATGTATCTGCGTTTTTTCCTGTTAGCAGAATGACCAGATCGTCCGCGTATCCAATTGTGTGGTAGCCAAGATCATTGAGGCGTCGTATCAGGCTGTCAACGACATTATCCCACAGTACAGGAGAGAGAACTCCTCCCTGAGGACATCCCCTGTCTACAACAGCCTCGATCTCAGTGCCACCTACATTAATCATTACTTCCCTATTCCTCAGCATACTGGCCACCCACCTACTTAGGGTGGGGTCCACGTCGTGCTTTCGTAGGGCTAGTTCTATGCTTTTGAAGGTCGTTTTATCAAACGCTCCTTCAATATCCAAAAACATTCCTAAGGTGAAGAGTTTGTTCTCCATCGCCCACTCTATACGGTTTACAACTGTGTGTAAGGCCGTATCGGTGGATCTTCCTTGGATGTAGGCATGTTGGTTCGGATGTAGAGGTTGCTTGCTCAAAGCAGTCTCCCGAATCTCTTTTTCGCTTAGTCTTTCTAGCGTTTTCAGCAAGAATGATGTTAAGCTAATTGGTCTGTAGGATTTAGCCAAGGTGTAATCTTGTCGTCCTGGCTTAGGTATAAAGATAACCTTTACTTTTCGCCATGCATTCGGTATGTAGCTGAAAGCCAGACACGCCCGAAGCATTGGCAACAAAATAGGGCGTAGTCTGCTCATTCCCCTCTGCAGGAGGGCGGGATAAATACCGTCAACTCCTGGAGATTTGTATGGGGAAAAGCTGTCCACTGCCCACTCCAGTCTTGCCTCCGTGACTACCTTTGCAGCCAGCGCCCAGTCCTTCGGGGAAGGTTGAGTACCGACTACATCCCTTTTGGAATGGGAGGTAGTCCGTGTGCTGTTATATGGCCATCATAAAAGTAGTTGACCGCAAATAAATACCCCCTTTGTGTGGTTCTTACTAAGCTTACCGGTTGGCAATAAATCATCTTCTAAACATTTCTTGCTCATATTTAACAGGGCCGGCTTTCAAAGCGAGTGGTTATTTCGGAACCTTCAGGGGCTGCAGGTAGTAAAGAAATAGTGGAGTGGTGGATTTTCATTATTAGTGAAAGCCGCCCCTGAACGAAACCAGAAGAGCCGGTCGACCCTAAAACCTTTTCTATTGTAAACAACTTAACTTCGACACAATGGGATGATTTTATGATGGCCATATAACCTTATAACTCTTGGTTCACTATATTTACGTATTGCAGTGAAACGATTGTTTTGTACTGTTGTTCAAAGTTGAAATTAATTAAAAAAATTATTATTCGTGTTTAGTTACCAACAGGAAAAGTGTAGAAATGTTTCTTATCTTTCTTTTGTAAAAAAAATACAGGTAATTTTGAATGTTAATAAAATTTTACAGCCGTTAAAAGCTAAAAGCCCAATGTAATCTAAACTGGAGATCCTTGGTTAAAGCGTGGTGTTCATCAAACCTTGTTCTATTCTGTACTGCATTTAATTCGAGCTTAATTACAAAATATTCTATAAAATTTCCAATAGTATACCAAATTGATGTTCGAAAAATTCAGGTTTCTCGTCTATCTGTTCTTTTGTGGGAAATATCTTCAGGTAACCTATGAAACTTAATCGTGGTCAGTCTGAAATTTTAATCACGTTGTTATCGTGGAGATGGTAAACGCTTAATCAAAATTTCGTCACTCTTCCTTTCCGGTAAAATGATGACGTCATCAAAACATTGGACAAGAATTATTACCTTAGTTTCTACCACTAGGATGTAACCGATTTGTATTTTTACGTTTGTTCGGCGAATAAAATCGGTGTAGGTTAACCTCAATAATTTATTTCTTACTTAACTTCTCTTGACTCAATTAGCTGTATAGTCATCGTTCCCGAAGGTGGTATTTAAACCCATACTCGTTCTAGATGTGCGGCAATCGGGATCTTTCTCGATTGCTGATCGCGACTCTCGTTTCCAGGCCTTTCTCTAGCGAGCGCCGGCTGCCGACGATGAGCGTCGAACTGGGGTAGCGTATGGGTTTTTTTCGTAACAGTATTATAATGAGACGTAAACAACTTGATCCAAATAATTAATAAAATTTTAATATTAGGTTTATTGGACTTGTACTTGTATTAGAGACAAGTTTCGATCATCATCTGAGTGAAGTACTCTATCTTCAGACGTCCACTTTTATATTGTTACGTTTACATTTAAATGACTTTCAGAGGTGGAAATAGTGATTGAATATGTAACTTAAATGCTATTAATTTAATTGAACCAGAAGTGACTTGATGAAAAAAATATCTACAAATATTCAAGAATATACAAGTCATACGACCTTAATATCTGGTGTTCTAAAGACAATTTTTGGGACCATCATCTGAGTGTATACTATATTTTTACTTTCAGCGAAAGAAATTTCTTTACTGTTTTTCAAACACAATAATAAAAAATGGCCAAAAAATGTTATTAGTATTAAGTTGACAGCAGAATGTATTTAGAAAGTCCACTTTTGTTTTAAATGTTTTTGTATATTAATAAAATTGTATAGCTTGAAAGTCAATCCTGAAAACTGAATGTATTTAGAAAGTCTACTTTTGTGTTAAATGTTTTGGTATATTAATAAAATTGTATAGCTTGAAAGTCAATCCTGAAAACTATATTATGCAAATCTTTCGTAAAAACGTTTGCCGTCGTCAAACCCTGACCAGGACCGTATTTGTTCTACTTTACACTGAAATAAACTCGCGTGACTGAAAAAGTCCTGAACAGCTATTATAACCCGTACTTTGTGTTTGTGTGTAAATATGTATTTGAATTTCAACAATATGAACTTATTTTATTTCAGCATTTAGTCGAGGAAACCCTTGACAAACAAATATTTTCCGAAACACAATACAATATTTCAAATTTCAAAGCTTTAGGGAGCAAGCATTGTTGGCTCAAATGACACACCAAGCTATCAGATTTTATGTGGTATACAAAATCAGTGTTTTGAGAAAAATTTAAGAACTTGAGTGTCCAGTGATATCCTGCTACGTTGACGTTAAAAGCTTTCACTGACGGAAATAGTTGGGCCATTAATTTAATTTCTGTCGGTTTAAGGACACCGTACCATAAATAAAAGAATCAATATTTGATCTGCAACCACAGGAAGAGTGAACTTTGTTAGATTAAAGTAAACTTTCCACGTCCTTACAACAATAAATTTCCCAATTCAATAAAACTTGACCCACAGTGTTTGTTATTTTCGCGAACAATCGTAATAATTCCACCTGTATTAACAACCGTGACATTAAAGCACAAAGAGTCCGTGTTTCCGCTATAAGCCATCGCAGCGATTTCCCAGGTAAACCCGGCACAGAACGGGCGATTTTCCCGAACGAATTACCGCGCTTACAGGTGGTTCTCACCTAATCAAGCCTCCGGGAAATCGCATTTGTGCCGGAATCGTCGATGGTTATCAGTTTATCTCCGGTCTTTTCGATCCGCCAACATTCGTTCATACCTCCCGATGCAAAAAAATCTCAGCTATATGAATAATTTCCATAATACCAGCTTTATTAAATTGAGGAGCAATATTTTCGCTGTCTCGGAGCCGACTTAAACTGATTTGGAAGTCAAATCGGCATTTGCGAACTTCGAAAAGGCTTTCTGCAAGAGTTTCGGACTATTGTTTATTGCGATACGGCCGCGTAATAGTTGGAGTTTTGAGAGTCATCGAGCAAGGGTATCGATCGCGCGAACCGGAATTATGAAATGCAATATAAAATTTCTGGGGTGATTTATTCGCCTCGGGGTTGTCTACCCTTTGATTTATACTTGTATAGATTAAAGTCAGGTGAA